TCGGTGAAACAGGAAGAAAAATCGGCCTTCGAATCAAGGGACATCAAAGACTCTGCAGGAACATGGATACACAAAGACCAGAAGCAGCGGAACACATTGCACGGACGGGGCACGAAATCGACCGAAAGGTTGGCTGCATTTGGTCAAAATGCGAGAAAACGCAAGATCCGAGAGGCCATTGATATACTGACTGAGAGAAGTCTAATGAACAGGAGACTTAAAAAAGGCAGGATCAGCGAAAACTTTGCATATTGCCTAAATAATCTAGGAGAAGACCAGGCAACAGGAAGATCTGCAGAAAGAAGAAGACTGGATCAAGGTAATAGCCTTATTTTTAGGAAAAGAAATCGCAAGAGGATGAGGAAGGACGAATCAAAAGCACAGAGGAGACGTCTTCAGTGAACCTTATCAAAACAAGTACAACTAAGACATTGGTGGGTTGCCACACAGGAGACTAGGACGTAGGAAGTGATATTCACAGTATTACAGATAGAAACAGGAAAGACGTGGTGGAGACTAAAGCTATTGGCTAACAATAGACGTGTTTGATCATAAACGTGATCCTTGAATCACGACCATTGTTAGCCAACCAGCTCTAGCTTCCACTGTTTCTATCCTCTATCTATAATACGAAGCCTATTACTTCCTATGCCATAGTCTCTTTTGTGCCAACCTATAAATGTTGTGGTTCAATATTGAACCAAATCAAAACAAGCTGTACCACAACATTTGTGGGTTGGCGCACAAGAGACTAGGGCCTGGCAAATCATAGACTTGGTATTGGGGATAGAAACAGGATAGAGACGGCGAGGACCCTGGGTCCCAGAAAGTGAGAACGAATAGAGTGCAGATGTTAAAGAGGATAACTAACTCATAGCTTTGAAGCCTTGGGAATAAATTATGCCTATGTACGAGAATCACCTGACTTAAATTCCTTTAATGTGACGTAAACGGGGACCGGAATCGAAGTCTCATAGGCAGCCAGATTTCAGACAGTCAGACTTCGAAACCGAAACAACTGACAAGCGGGGTGGAGGTGGGCTGAAGGAAATTCAGAACCCATGCGAACGACACCAGCCAGAAGAGATTGCGATCAAACAAAAGGCCACACGATCTTGGCCTTATATCTATAAATAATATTATATTCGTACTCGATAGATATTGGAGACTATTCGAAGATCTTGAATAAAACCTGTGTTCACCTTTGGTTTATTAAGGTGGTAAAGGACTGATAATGGGTTCTGTCACACGTAGTGTCCCCAACTGTATTGGCAAGCACATGCTTGCTTTATTGACTATCTCACTATAAAGTTTGATTAAGGAAAACTATATCTTGCTTTAAAAATAACTTTAGCTTTGTGAGTCACTGGCACGTGTGGAAGTTGGGAGGAAATAAAGGTTGCACCACCTGGGTTAGATTCCCGTTGGGATTGCTAATTATGAGGCCGAAATTACAGTAAATCCTGGATAAGGTCACGTCTTGGAAGGCTAAGTGAAGCTAATCGCTATCGTGAGGTCATATAATTGTGGGAAAATTAACTGTCCGTTCTTCCTCACCTGTTTGGAGTGACTCAAGTTTTTAAATCATATTTTTACACAAATGTAAGCGTATTTTCAAGTTTTTTGCTTATCTGGTGGCTTGGTATAGTTAGGACAAGGCATTCTATTTGATGCAGATCCTTCTAAAAAGTTGCGAACAGTGCTTAGCTGGAATGATAACACTACCTGGTTAGATATAGGTCACTTGATAGCTTAGCATATCATTATTGCACTATGGAACGTTTAAGTATAGCCTCTCAAGTTTGTATCTAGGCCGTCCATCAATTGCCCTTTACCGAAATTTTGATTTATAATCCTCTAATATAACTTTTTTATTCGATCCTTTCTGGTCCTTAGCCTTGCTTTCATGTTGGATTTCCGTTTCTCCACTTTTTTACATTTTTGCTCTAAATTAACTTCATTCTTTTTAATTGATACAACGTTCTGATATTCGTAGCTTGTTTTTTATTTTTTTCCTACTATTCTTATGGGCTGAACCCAAATTTTATCTGGTCTTAGCCCCAGATTTTTGGTTATTTATACTATATTTAACTATAGTATCTTAAAACGTTTTTACATTTTAATTTTAATACACGAATTGTCTAAATATTATCTCTGTTTTTATAAGTGGATTGGCCTCGTTTTCGCACTATGGTCGTATTTACAGGGCGACTTAGTTGGACTTAGCTTGTCCATCGCCTTGACGACATGAGGCCAATGCACTTTTATATGTACCGAAAAGAGACTGCAACCATACCATCCTGGTTTTCCTATCTTCGATTTTTTTATTTATTTATACACTGTATTTTGTAACCCATCTTTCACTAGTAGATAAGCCTTATTCATACTTAGCAAGTAACTATTCTAATAAAAGCTGATTGAGTATATTTAAAGAAAAAATGGATTAAAATCACTTCCTTAGTGCTTTTTTGACGTGACTTTTTATTTTAAAAGGTTCTTTGTAATGAATTCGTGAATTGGTCTCAGTAGGAAACTAAGGAGAATTTTCGTGAGTCATCGCCTCGCCGTCTTGTGAGCCCGATCAATCTGTGCTAAGATTTTGTCTCATTCAAAGGACATCATCAGAACAAGAAACCATATTTTGAAAAAAAATGTATCAAATACGATAGGCCAGGAAATTAAAGGAGACCATGGTGTAGTTCCTTTGTTTATTGGCCTATCGCATTTGTTAATTTTTTTTCTGTTAATTATGGTTTCTTGATCTGACTCTCTACCATATAACAGATGAAAGCTTTGCACAGGTTCATCAGGTCGTAGGACATCAAGTCTGGTATTTCTTCGCATAACCCAATCTTCTTCATTCTAGGACAATCATCCTTCGGTTTCCTGTGATATCATTCACGAATTTCTTCTGATAAACTTTTCCTTTGAAATGGAAAGTCTTGTCCGTAACGTGCCTATTTAATATTTAATTATTTTTAAAAATTAATTTTTTTTTCTAATACCACTATTACAGAGCAAAAATATTCCACCCGCGCAATAAGTGTCTGGGTTGTGGTGAGTGAAATCGAACTCGATCCCTTACTCCCAGTTTCCGAGGCTGTTCTGTATACAAGCACAGCAGCCAGTAGCGTGGCGTTGGCCCGTACTGCTGTTAACTTCCTGCGCAGTTCACAGGCCTCACCAACTTTGCGGATCGGCATTATTTTCAATCCACGGAACCTTTCTTTGCTTGCATCCACGTCTAATCTTACATCTGATGTTTTTACTCTCACTCGGGCTCTCTATCTGGCGGGTGAACCAGCTCTGCCCATCCCCATTACTGATTCAGCCTCTCCTGGAGTTAGTGCCACTTACCACTTAGACCATATGACAGCGCGCAATTTGGCCAACAAACTTCTAAAAGAGGCTGGCGAAAGGATAACAGCCATCAATCAGACTCGAGGTTTAGTGGGCAGATCAATAAAAGAACTAGCAGTTGGGGTAGGTTTCATTGTAATTTTTTCTGAAGACAAATAAGCAATTTTTCGTATTGCAATTGAATAAGCTTATATTTCATATTAAATTTATGTTGGCTTTGATGTTACTATCACTTTCTGATAATTATTTCGACGTATATTATGATATTGGAGACTGTTTTCCTACCATTGGTGAATATCTTTTCAGACTATATTTATAACTCTAGCTATGTTGAAAAGCATACCATTATAATCCTACCTTATTTTGAATGTCGTCTCCTTTCATACCCGGTTTCTGCTTATTTTTGAGCATCAATTTATTAAGAGTCAGATGTATACTTATCTTAATTATCTTGGAACATAATATCATGTACTATAGTTATTTTTCTCAGCTATAATAATACAACGTAGAGCATGAATAACTTAATTGTATTTAATTCTTTTAATCTTATAATTTTCATAGTTAATTAATTTTAGAGTGCTTTCTAAATGAAAATATCGTTATAGATCCTTGGGTGATAGCAATTTACGATGTGAATCAATTTATTGATAGACGCATTTTGCTTCAAAAATTTCCCATTTTGGTCTGACCTCGTTTTCGCAATTTTCTCATGTTGACAAGTTGACTTATTTGAACACACCTTGTCCGAAGTCATCTGCTATAGTAGGTATCATAATTCACAGCTTCGCGCCATGGACTTGATACATTCCCAGACGTTTCTCCGGCATCGTCAATACTTCTTATCATTCTCAACACAGTTACAGTTCGTGATAGAGACAAGTGAAGTTTATCACCTGAGCAACTTTCTGCCAAAACGGTCATACTACATCTCTTTCGATCCAAGCATATCGACCTACCTTACCTTTTCATTTCATTCATTGGTTACATTCCACTCCTCAAGTGATGTGCCATTTTTTGACAAGTTTACTATGGCATCATCACACCTGCTGTTCACCATGCCCCCTCTCTCAATTTTATCTAGCTGATCCGACTTTGGCCTCTTTTCAGAATCTGCAAAATGGTCCTGTAGATCCGTTTCTTATCTTTCTGGTTGATCGATTTCACTTGGTTCCAGCCGTAGTGTACGTTTTACTTTAGGCGCTATTTCTCAATCCTTCACTTCATGTACAAGATCGACTCAACTGCAGAATTAGGCTCGGAGTACTATGCTTACAGATATTAAGCATCGCCTTAATTACCCGTAGCAAACTATGGATGTCTATCTCTCAACTGCTACAGTTTGAGTGGACTTCTAGTCAATTTGGCTATATTTATGTAGCGTTTTTTATTATTCGTCTCCATAGTCCTGTGACCGCCAGGCCCAAAAACGTTGTAGTTGCTTCCTCGAGCAGAGCACCCTTTCACGAGATTTCCCAAACATCCTCATCCGCTTCCTCCTCATGATCTCTTCTTTGGTTGACGATAGGTCCTTGCTCCAGGCGTCTTCTTTTTGTTGGTCTTGCCATATTGTTTTTTTCAGAGGTGCTTAGGCAAACTCAGTAGACTTGCGAAGAGTGTTGTTTTTTCCTGGTGACCTGAATATTCTATTTTCTTAATATTGGGCGTAGTTTTCGAGTTAGCTCGCATGAAGTTTGGAATATCCACTATTGCAAATCTCACTATCCTTACTTTTCTTTCATACGCCATCTCCTTTTAATGAACTGTATGCTTCATTGCATTACCTCTCTTAGCCGAGAAATATCAGAATCAATTTGTCCAATTCTTCATCCCATAATTCCATGTCCGTTAATTGTAGGCTCAATATCATGCCTATCAATATTCATTTCTTTAGCCTGCAATTATTATGTGACTCAAAATTGACTATTATTCTGGCATATGAGGTAACCGCTCCTCCTCTACTTTCATGGTATTTTGACTCCTTCAGCAATTTGGTTTATAAACTTCAGGAAATCTTACACTTTTTCTCTTCCATGCGACCAAAGTGCGATGTATTCGTCCAGGTACCGCATGAACACTCCTAGTTGCTGCGGTTACATTTTAAAGTTATATTCTAATTTATTCATGTATATGTTTTCTAAAATTGCTGAGAGCGGCGATCCCAATGAAGTACAAATATTTCTTCCTATATGTTTCTCTTAAATGTAAAATAAGTATTCCTTATTTTCAAGTTGATTAGTCGTGTTACCTACTCCCTCATGATCCTTTCTGCTTGTAGTATATTCTCTTATCGATCCAAGAACTCTAGCAAGGCCGTTTCGCCTTTTATCCAGAGTTTTTTTGTACATAGAATATACATCAAATCTTACGGCTAATTCTGTTCCTTCTAGTGCCATGTCTTTGATGCTTTAAAAAAAATTCATATGCATTTTTTACTATGCTTGGCAACCTGTCTTTTAATCGAAGGTATGAAGACAAAAATGGTGTGGCCTTTTGTGTGGTAACAGTCTCCTTTCGTTATATAGAAGTTGTTTGACCTTGTTTTCGCAACTTGGTCATATTGGTAAGAAGATGGAGTCCATTGTATGCATCATCATTTCCAGAGTAGGACCGGGGAGGTGGTACATTCCCAGACGTTTCGCTGGCATCGTCAGTGAGTCTCGCCAGTCGTAGCACCATATTACAACTCGTCAAGACAAATGAAGCCCATTCTTTGACCAAACGTGTGCTAAACAGTTGTGGTAACTCCCCTTCTGCCCTGT